TCACTMACTCACTCATACATCTCACTCACTCCCTAACTTATACATGCAAATTGACTTTATATGTATAATAGTTGCACTATTGCTATGACTTTATGGATATTATTATCAGTGGATTTGAGGAACTCACTGATGAGAGAGCAGCCGCTAGTCGTGCGGCCAATAGCTGTGTGCTTGGATCAGCTCCACCTCCCAGTCAAGTGATACCTTCAACAACAAAAATATATGTGTGAGAAGACTCTCACACCACTCATATATATATACACATACAGTATATAYATATATATACATACATACAGTACATACATAGGATCATAAATGCATTGGCAATACTAATAATAATTGTCCGACACTTTGGTATGTGTGAAGTGTATGTGTGTGTATAGAGAAAGAGAGAGAGAGAGAGAGTCCAGAAAAGTTAATGAATGGTATATACGGTATAAATATAAGTACAAACCACTGGTCCCTAACCTACTGTGCTTTTTTTGTTTGGTACCCATTGGAGACCCATTTAATTAAGTTTTTCTGTCTCTCTGTGTATGTGTTTGTTTAGAAGTGCACCGATAAGTGTTGACAATAAAAAAACTTTTTTATTTGACTAACAAAAAAAGTTTAGTTTAATTGTTGGGTTATCCTAACCTAACTGTCCATCCATTCATCATCCGATGTGGTCATCAACATCATCACCGACGATGACTGCATCCAACTATTTTTCTATCGATCGCCTGCTGGCGTCTAACGACAAGACAGCCAATGGTGGCATCGGTGGCGGCGTCGGCGGAGGCGGTRRTGGTGGTGTGGCCAGTCTCGTAGCCGCTCACGACCGATACAATCATCACATTGCGGCCAATTATCCGCAATTGTTTTCGTCGTCGTCGGCATCGTCCACACCGTGCGGTGCTATGCCTTCAAGCGATCTATTGTTTCACAATGTTTTTCAAACAAACGGCAACAACGGCTTGTCGTCGGCCAAATCGATGCCGGCTTTCGACAGCGCCGCCGCCGTCGCCGCTGCCGGACTCTATGGCCAACCGGCCTGTCATACGCCAGATATGTTGCCGTTTTGGCTGTTTTTACCACAATATCTATCAATGCAACGATCTCTGGGCCTCTGGTCGCCGCCCCGTTCGCCCGATTCAAGCGGCGAAACGGTAGCTTCGGGTATGATATCAAACCAATCAGTTATTTTTTTATTTATAGGCATTAATATTATATAACTATATATTATTTATATGATATACTAATTAAGTAGACTGTGCTTTAAGAAAAACCTCATTACATTACACCCTAACCTTACATTTTTCACAAATATGATTATCATATTATCATTATTAGTAATTTTATAATAATTATTATAATACTAATAATTAGCATCATTACAACTATTAATAATTTTGTGTTTTGGAAATTTGTATTATATTTATAAATTATAAATATTATAGATAATTTTTTTTATACACGTTGTAATTTACAGTATATATTAATTTGTGTGTGTGTGTGTGTGTGTGTGTATGTATGTGTGTGTGTGTATGTATGTGTGTGTGTGTTTTTATCATAGCATTAATAAAATTTACAATAAATAAAAATAAAAATTATAATCATTAACAACAAATTTTTTATAACAAAGTGCTAATTATAGTGTGATAATAGTGTGAAATAATAATAAAAAATAAATAAATAGTATATTATATCTTTTTAAAATAAATTTTTTAATCATAATAATAATAAATAATAATAATAAAAAAATAGTGACAATAGTTAGTTAATGTATAATTATAGCTATTATTCGATGCCCTGAAACATCAATTTTATTGTTGTTTTTAAATTAAATTATTATGAAAATGTATAAAAAAAATTTAATTTTTATTAATTGAATTATTACATAATTATTTGTGACTWTAGATAAAAAACATAATAATAATAATAATAAATTATGTTTTTTATGTTACTTTTTAGTTGATGGCAAATATCACGAGTGTTTATAATAGTGATAATATTTAATAATAATAATAAAAACTAAAAAATAAATTGTATTTAGTATAAATAATTCATAATTTATATAATTCAATGATATAATATTGTATTTAATATAATTTAACTGCTATTATAACCAATTGATATTAATTGTAAACTATATTTACAATCAAAAAATTATTATTATTTTTTATTAATATGATTAATAAAATTAATTATCTTCTATTATATTTTTTATAATACAATCTAATACAATATATATTTATTAAATTATATTAAAAATCACGATTTATTTAGAAACCTCAACAAAAAAATAATAAATAAAAATAATAATAATTTACAAATCAGTCCAAGTTTTTTGGTTTTATAATAATAATAATAATTTTATTTAGCTTAAATGCAATGTTATACATAACAAGTTGTATACAATATTACAAAAAGTCATTAATATATTTAATAAAATTACAGTATTTTTCTTCATTTCTTATATACAATGGTAATGAATTAAATAGGTTTATACAATAATTAATATAATTTTTATCAAATAAATCAATCCTTTTAAATGTTTTTTTAATAAATAAACCATTTCTAGATGTTTTATAAAATTCAAACAAATAAAACCAATTATTAGGTACAGTATTATTACATGTTTTTATTTTGAAAATAAGTTTCAACGCTTTTAATTTTCTTCTTTTTTCTAATGTAATTAAATTCAAATATTTTAATCTATTAATATAACTTATGTCTAATTTTCCTAAATTGTTATTTTGTTATAACTTTTTGGATTTTTTCAATTTTATGTGATTGAGTTAAAAGGAGTAAAGCATGAATTTGAATAGTTTAAAATCGGTAAAACATAGGTTTTATACAATTGCAAAAATATTTTACTGTCAATATTTTTACATAAAAATTTTAAAAAATTAAATTTAGAAATAGCTTTACTATAGATTTCATTACAATGTATATTAAATGACATTTTATTATCATAAGTCAATCCTAAATGTTTATGTTGATTGACTGATTCAATAATTGTATTATTTATTTTATATTTTGATAAATCTACAGATTTTAATGTAACTCTTAAATGTTTTGTTTTATTTTCATTTAATTTTAAACCTTTAATATTACAATAATTTTGAAAATTATTTATATTTGTTTGTAAGTTAATAATATCATTGTATGATTGTTATGTATAAATATTATTGTATGATTGTTTGTTTTGTTTTGTTTTATTTGAGATGCAATTTATGATTTTATTTTAAATATTAAAGGTGTAGAAAATTTTTAATAATTATAATAATATACTTCTAATAATAATAAGGTTTTTTGGAAAAAATAACAAAATTAATTATAATTTGAAAATATTTTTAAAAAATACTTCCAATAAAATAACAATTTATTTTGTTAGTTATCATATTATTATTATTATTATCTCATATAATACACTACATTGTATTTATTAAATTATAATTATTATTAACTATGATTTAAGATACAGATTGAATTTTGTAAAATTATTTATTTATTTTATTTTTTTAGTTGAAACTAACTAATAATTAATACTAAAATATTAATTATTAAAAAACATATGTTAAATATTAGTAAAAACTAATATTCATATATATAAACAAAAATTAAATTTCAAAACAAAAATTCTGTACTAAATCTATATATATATATAAAATCATAATTTTTATTTCATTTAAAATCAAATGAGATAATTATGTTACTCTTCCCCCCCAATCCCTCCCTTCCCCTTTAGTTAGTCATCATAGGGTTAACTATGCAGCTAATTAATTGATGATAATAATGATGATAATTAAATTCAATAATAATAATAATAATAATAATAACAACAATAATTGATTGCAACAAAAATTAGGGCTAATTTATAGGCTAATGTTTCGCTTAATTAATCATTAAAACTGTGATGACTGTATGTATAATACTGTATATAATACTATTGTTTATGCAATGCTTATTCAATGATATGATATTAGTAGACATCCTTTCCAAACAATGAGACATTTCCTCTCAAATATATATATATATATAATTTTTATGGCATCGCATAACATAATTATATTTATATACAGTATATTATATATCACTGTTTTAAAAAATAAAAATAAATAAAAATTATTATTTCAACCGATTAGCTGTCATTCAATGAATATTTATCTTTATATATCATTCACATTATTATTATTATTATATTACAACAACTTGTATTGCATTTATACTTGTATTACTTGTATATATATATATATATATATATATATATATATATATATATATATATATATATATATACAGTAAAAGGCCTCTCAATTAAGTTAAGTGACTCTGAATTATAACACATAAGTGTCGGATGTTTTTTTTGTTTTGTTTTTAGAGGCACTATATATATATATATATATATATAGATATATAAATATCTATCACTTTTAACACAATATATTTATGTATTTATATAGTATATTATAATATCAATACTTGAAAGATAAATTTCATTGATAGTATATATATATATATATATATAAGTATACAAATAATATTATAGCTAAACTACAGTACAGTATAGTAATAATAAGTGTTTTGGCAATAATTGTGATAAAAATACATACATTTTGTCGGGACATTAAGTTTATGTTAAGAAACATTATTTTTTTTTATTTGTATTTATATTGGAGACTATATTTTTATGATATTTATTATAGTTATAAAAGGGTTTTTATGCTGGGTAAATTATTATTGGGCAAATATTATAAATTAATAAAAAAAACAATAATTTGGTAATGTGTAATATGTATATATATATATACAATACAAACATTGTTAGGAAAATATATATATATATATATTATAATTTACTAATAAAGTCCAATAACTTATTGCCAATAAATTATATATTGTTAGCAATTAAATGTTAATTATCAATAATTTCAAAAGTTATTTAATAGTCAACAACAAAAATCTTAAGTGCATTCAAAGTGTAGAGATTATATTTATAATTATAATAATAATATATGAGAAAAAATAATAATATATATATAAATTGTTAGTAATTTTCACTTAAAATGGTTAACATCTGATAAAAATAAAAGTGTTTTTATTTTTTTTTGGTTGTTTGTGAGGATAAGATATCAACCATCAAAAAAAAATTAAGTTCACATATAATTATAACTCATTAGTGATATATATATACTGTATATATATATATATCGTACACATAAAACACTTTATAACACATTTAGAGAGAGAGAGAGAGAGAGAGAGAGAGAAAATCATTATTTATATGATAATAATAATAATAATTATATGATTAACCGACACAACAGAGAGTTTCTAATTATTGTTATTATTATTATTATTATTATTATTTTAGTTTTTTTTCTTTAAGTCACATCCGTTGCCATTAAAAAAAATAAATGTCTTCAAAGTGTTTGGGATGTGTTAACAATGTGTTGTGTTTGTGTGAAAGTAAGAGAGAGAGAGAGAGAGAGAGAGAAAAGATGATTCACTCTTTAAATATATGTTTTTTAAGTGTCGGATAAAGTCTACAGAGAGAGAGAGAGAGAGAGAGAGAGAGAGAGAGAGAAAGGAGAGAAAGTGATATAAAAATGATCACTAATTGATGCAAATGTTTGTCTATAAGGAGAGGCCTTATATTTGTTATGTTTCTGTCGGCGTCTCTCCAATAATATATATATATATATATATAAATAAATATTCAGTAAATAATCAGCAAATTTAGTGGCAATTATTATAATCAGTGCACACGAGGAGAGAGAGAGAGAGAAACAAAAAGTCAAATAATAGTGCGGTTTATTTGCTTACAAATACTATAGTATATATATGTCTCGGCATTTCCTCAATTATCGGCCGACTAAACGATTTACTAACTTATCGTAACGTTTAAAATATATGACTCGATATAGTGGTGAGAGAGAGAGAGAGAGAGAGAGAGAGGAAAGGGAGCTCCGAAAAAACTGTTTGTAATTATGTACTGTATATATATCTCTCTTTTGTTAACCGATTGATGGTTAGTTAGTTAATGTATAGGACCTTCAAAAAAATTGATTGCCAGTCCTTTTAAATTAGTCTCTCAAATATTTATATGTATATATCGTTTACTTCTCACCTTTCAAATATAAATTATATATACACACAGTATAATACAGTATCACTGTATATGAAAGCTGTCTGTCCATTGCTCTCTCTCTCTCTCTCTCTCTCTCTCTATCTCTCTCTCTCTTTCAAACTTATCCTCCCTTTCCCTTACAGTGTGTGAAAGTGTTGTTGCATTTGTTGTTGTTATTTATAATTTTACATATATTATTCCCCATTGAATGTATGCACATCTGACACACACTTTATATATAATACAGTATATATACAGACTTAACTGATTATCACTTTTTAAAAAACACAAATACACCTCATTATAAAAATACAAGCGATAGAGGGGGAAGGCAGGCAGGGAACGCCTATTTTGTACAGAAAAATTAAAAAACATACATTCCTATCGGGTGAATATAACAACAACAACAAAAATTGGTAGCCTTTTATATATATTGATATATATCACTACACGCTTAGTATTAACCAAAAAATATAATAAAAAATAAACTAAAAGTTAATAACAATTTTTTTATTTGACACTAATTTTTTTTTTGAAATACCATTTCTCTCGCACACATACATACATACCGACCGACTGACTGACAGGTCTATTAAATAGGGAATTCATTGGCAGTAAAAGTCAGCGGGACTTCATTACCAGTAATAATAGTAGTAGGGCTGAGCTACTACACCATCATAACCAGCAGCAGCAGCACAGGGATCATCTGCGCTACATTCGCGAAGAACCGGACAGCAGTTCCAGTCGGGACGGTTCGCGGTCGTCGACACCGCAAACAACTGATGCCGACAAATACACACCGCCGCCCCCGCCGCTCATTATCGGCGCCGCCACAGCTAGTCTTAACACTGATGATAAGTTATCGCCGCCGGCGGCCATTATCGGTGGTGGTATTACCACTGACCACCAGAGAAGCCAATCGCGTATATCATCGGCATCGCAGTCGCCGACTAACCACAACGGCGACGATGACGATGATGACGACCAGCTGATGGACGACAATGACGACGATTGTACTAAAACTTCATCGACGGCGGCCACCACTGGCGACAAATCGGATCCGAACAGTGCGGCAAACAATCGCCGCCGGCGGACATCATTTTCGTCCGAACAGTTGCTGGAATTGGAGCGGGAGTTTCATTTGAAAAAATATCTGAGCCTAACTGAGCGGGCACAGTTAGCCCATACACTAGCCCTATCCGAGTCACAGATAAAGATATGGTTTCAGAATAGACGAGCAAAATGGAAACGTGTCAAAGGTCAGCGAGTTGTCGGTGCCATCGGCGGTAATGGCGGCGGTCACGGAGGGGGCGGCGGCAGCGGCAATGGTGGAGCGCCCGGCCATAAGATACATGTGCCCATACCGGTCCATGTGGACAGAGTCAAGATCAGGAGCCAACAGCAACAGCTGGAAAAAAGGTTTGGTTTTTTTAAAAGTTTTGATAAGTTTTTTAATATTAATGTTTTTTTAGTTATTATAATCTTTTAAAAAAAAGTTATTAGTTTATTAATATGATGTTTGAATTATTATTTTTTTAATAGTTATTTTGTTTTGATAATTAATTTTATTTATGTTTGTTTGTTTGCTTGTTAAGCGCGCTGTTTATTAGTTTTATTTGCATTTAGTTAGTTATTTTTTTTATTTAATTTATAATATGATAATTATTATATAATGGAAAATTAAATATATAATCAATTTTCTTATAGTATAGTATTTATTTTAATGTAGTGTTATTATGGGGTAACAAAAAAAATTATTTTTATATATAATTATTTACATATAGATTGAAAATTGTTATTTTTTTTCTTATATTTATAACTTATTTTATTATTATTATGTTTGCTAACAATCTGTATGTGCATATAGTAATCGTTTAGTATTATTATTATTTATTATTATTTTTAATTTTCAATTGTAAATTGATTTAATTGAATATTATTTAAATAAATTTGTATGTGTTTTGACTGTAAAAAATATTAGACACACATTCAAAAATAATAATAAATAATAATTTAAATAATAATGGATTAACAAAATAATAATAATAATAAAAATATATCCCATTAAGCGATCTATTATCTTAATGAATATTGGCTATGAATACTATAGTATATATATATATTGTTATATAAAGTTTTTTTTTAATTTAATTAGTTTTTGTTTTTTTTGGGTTGTTTTGTGCGATTATTTTGTAGTTAACTTTTTTTTGTTGTTGTGTTCAAAAAATTTTCAAATAAAAAAAATTATATAATAAATCACATTTTTTGTTGTTGGCTTATATTTAACACACAATTAGCTATTTAAAAGCCATTAATGACCAACAAATTTATATACTGTATATATACCGGTATATATATATATATATATATTTGTGTGTAATATTATTGTATTAATAATAAGTGTAGTGATAATAATCAACTATTTATTTTTTTATCTCTCTCTCTCTCTCTCTCTCTCTCTCTCTCTCTCTCTTTCTCTCATTCGTGTTAATAATGTGTTTTGAGTGAACAAAAAACAATTAAAATTACATTTTATCACAACTAGAAATCTTTGCACAAATGTTTTGAACATAAAAAACTAGGAGAGAGAGAGAGAGAGAGAGAGAGAGATCTAAATGGGATACAAATTATACATGAATTAGAGTATAGTTTTTTTAGATACAAACTAAAAAAAAATTATTCATTCATTAAGAAAAAAAACTATTTACAAAAAAAAACTTTTTGTTTTCTATAAATCAAAAAAAAATTAATATAAGATTTCTAGACATATATTTTTTTCCGCACTAAAACAAATGTTTCCCTAAATATTCAATATATATATATATATATATATGTATATAGAGTTTAGTTAAATAAATATTTATTTATATTTAGATGAGGGAAACAATAATAATAATAATAATATAAAAAAAAGTTGCAATAAATGCCAAAATAAATTAGCTGTTTAGCAAATTATAACACATATTGAATGAGTGAAAAAATTAAAGTATTTAAATAACACAAACAAACAAAAAAACTAAAAGTAAAACAAAAAACACAATTTATATATATTTAAAATAAATTTTTTTAATATATAATTATAATAAACGTATTATTTATTTTTAAATAAAAAAGTTTTGTTTGGCATTTATTTAAACTGATGTACAATAAAAATAATAAGTATTTATAATAATAATAATAATAATACTGTAATAATAACTATAGTTAGCACCAGTTGTATTATACAATAAATATTATTTCACACATTTGTTATTTGTGTGTGTATGTATGTATGTGTGTTTATGCATGTATGTGTGTTTATGCATGCATGTATGTGTGTGTGTGTGTGTGTGTGTGTGTGTGTGTTTGTATGCATTTAAAACAAAAATGTTTTACCGGTAAAAGAAACAAAAAAAAAATAATATATTTTTTTATTTATTTTTTTCGTTGCATTTTTACTAATGATTGCCTTTAAGATTATGATCTTTTTAAACACAACATAACATAACATAATAATAACAACAACAACAACGGCTAATACACTCATTCATTGGGTACCGAAAAAAAACTAACACAAGTTTTTTTGTGTAATAATAATAATATTGTCTGCAATGTGTATAATATTATATAATATATTTAAGTTATGTATAGTAATAACTGATTTAAAATAAAACTGAATTTTTAATCTCTCTCTCTCTCTCTCTCTCTCTCTCTTTGCTCACTCATTGAATGCATTTTAATAATAAATAGCACTTTGAGGTTAACACTGCAGGTGTGAAGTTTTATATATATATATACCATCTAATGATATGATGATATGTATTCAACTTTTTATGTATTTTTTAAAAATTGTTTTTTTTTCTAAACACACATATATTATAGTGTATGAAAAAAAACTGTTGCCTTTCGGTGAGTCTTTAGTGAGCCATTATATATCATATACTGTATATATATATATATATATTCAGGTATATTATATAATACTATATGAAAATTATGAAAACATGTTTTTTTCTCGTTGCTAATCAATGTTTGATAGTTTAGTTAGTTTAGTTAGTTAGCCATCGGTTATATTGTAATGCATTTGTTTTATCCTATCATCTATAATAGTTGCCAACATAGACATAGACACATAGACACACACACACACACACACACACACACACACACACACACCAAACACGCCCTCAAATATTTGCATTTCAATTAACACTAACCGTCTAATTGTTAAAACAATTTGTGTGTTGCCTTTTACTACAGTATATAATAGTATAATGTATTTTAATAATAGTATAGTATAGACATGATTATCTCTATTGAGTATTATTATTATTAATTAATAGTATTATTATTTAAAAAAAAACTATAATAGGCATTGTGTTATCAATAACATACTTATGATAAAAATTATTATTAGTTTTTTTCAATCAAATAATTAATATATAAATTTATATATATTTATAAATGTATAGTCATAATGTTATCATCAATTAAGCTAAATAAATATTGTTTTTAATCAATTATCCATGAATCATATATATATAATTTTATTGATAAAATTACTTATAAATTATTATTATTATTATTTTAGATAAATTTTTATTAAATGTTAAATTATCACAGTTTCTCTGTGAGTATGTGTGTGAAAATTATAGCAAAATTTAATTAATTAATTTAAAAAAAAATATTATCGTATATATAAACAAAACAACAACAAAAATTTCAATTATATAATATATATCTTTTTAAAATTAATTTATAAAAAATTAAATAATAATTATTATAATCTAAATTACATATAAATTGCATGCTAAATACCCAATTTATTATTATTATTATTATTGATATTGAAAAAAAGCAAACACACGTAAAATAAATGACTGATTTGATGGCATCAATCAAATTATATTATATACAGTATATACCGGTATATATAGATATATATTATACAGTATATTAACATATAAATAATAAACAAAAAATAAACATCAATTTAAAAAGCTTTTACATTAATTTTTATTTAAAAAATTATTTCTTTATGTCAATAATATGTGAGAAAATAAAATCAATTTTCAATTAAATTTAAACGTTTTTTTGTGGTGTTGTTGTTGTTTTATTTGATGGTTTTACATATATTACATATATATATATAAATTTTCAATTTAATAAGTGGGTGTTTATTGTATTAATATTAAAATATTTATATAATATTTATATTATAATAATAATAATAATCAATTTATTTTGACTAAAATATTGGGAGTTTACAAAAATTGTCAGTTATTTAGTTACACTGACTGTACAGTATATACTGTATATATAAAATAAATTATTATTTTTTTCCACAAAATTAAATATACATTAAGTTTATATATTTTGTTAATAAATTTAAATGTTATTATTTTTAATATTATGATAACCAGTTATTTTTCATATATTAGTACATAAAATAGATTTATATACCCCTAAAAAATATATATACAGTATATAAAATATTTTAAGTGATTGTTAGCATACACACACACACACACACACACACACACACACACACACACACATAATAACAAAATTTTTATAAAATATTATACAAAAAAATATATAATAGTTTATTATATTACTTCATAGCCTTAAAGCAAAATTTATTACTAAACAGTACTATAGTATAATTATTTAATTTTAACATTATAATAAAATTAAATTACATTAAATATCTATACTATAGTACAGTGTATATATATATATGATATTATAATCGCAAAAATTAAACGTATGTTAATTATTTAGCTTAAAATTTATAATTAAAACAAAAAACAAAAAAGTTTTGATTGCTATTAAAAAATCATGCAAACACTATACATATATATACTGTAATACTAATAATAATAATGATAATATGATGATAATGTAATTATTTATTTATTTATTTTTCACATTTTATTTATATAAAAAAACTAAATAAATTTGTTTTTTTGGACCCAAACTTCTACATCACGAGATAATTAGCAAAATTTAATAAATCATTTAATTGATAGCTTTTTAATTAATGAAACAAAAATTCAAATTTAGTTTTTTTTATAATCACACATACAGAAAAAAAAATTATTATTAAATTTTTCTGTATGTATTTTTGAGCTATAATTTACTAAATAATAATTATTATTATTATTGTTTAATTATTTTTTATTTATAATGTCAATATATTAGTTAGTTAGTTAACTATTGATTTATTGCATTTATATATATAGAAAACATAAATAAAATAAAATAAAAATATATATATAATTTCGATTAATTAAACAAACAAATAAAACAACAATTAAAACAAATATCAAAGTAAATATTTTGAAAAAGTGTTTAATTTTATTTTTATTTTATTTTTAAAAACACCATAAATTTGTATAAAATTTATAGCATTTTATATTATTGGATAAAATTTATAT